GTGGGATCTTGTTACCATTACCGAAGTTGGTTGACTGTTGATATTCTCGACTCTGAATTGCATCTATCCGTATTATCGCTGCCGAGACGTGATCGTTCTACGCGAGGCGGCGGTGTGCTACTATATTTTCGCAGCAATCTTCAATTTGAACCACTTGATCTCTTCGATGCAGCCTCCGACACACTGGTGCACAATGAGGCTATCCAAAGATTCGTGTGGTCTACCGCTCTCCTGCATCCTCAAACTTAGCTAACAAGGCACTGTTGCAGACTATTAGATACGCTCTCCTGGCAAAGTTAATTGATGTCCGCTTATTAGGAGAATTCGATTGCCCCAATTTTATACAATGCCAGAACTATCACCAGCCATTCGAACGAAATTTATCACAATTTGTGAACTTACATCCTCTGTATAATTACGTGAAGGATCGCATCAGATTTGGAAAAGACCACTTATCATCGACGTTGGACTTAGTATTGACAAACAAGGAACTTATGGTCGAATCTGTCGAAATAACGTCGGGTGTCGATCTACGCATGACCGTAATAGGGTAGGCTTGACATCACGCGGGGCTATAGCGAAGCTGTCTACCATCAAAGTTTGCTCGTGATGGTACGATTTGAACTTGGGACCATAGAACCAACCCGAAGTATGCCAGTCACAGCGATTTCGATTGATGGAAATACAGATGTTCCAAGTTCGTTCGGTTACTTTCGTGATCACTGATGTTGAGAGTGGAAGAAGCTCCAGTGTTTCGTTGCGTCTTAGACATAGCGCTTATCTTACCAAAGTATTCTACCTGTAGTTTGTCCGGTTTCCCACTCAATAACGTCTTGCTGTTCGCATAGTTGTGACGGAAAATTTATCGCACTCTTGCCCCCTCAAAAAAGGAGAAAATAAAAGACTTCCTGCTGCTGTCTTTGCAACTTGTGCTACCTAACCCAATATAAAAGCAAAAAAACATAGACAAGGAACCAATCCTGATTAAGATGGTTCCTTTTGTGATCTCAGAGGAAACATTGCCATGATCTGGGGCTCGATTGCTATCATATCCAGGTCCATAGGCTGATAGTTTCTTTGTGGAGTAGTTTCTCAAATAACCTAAGAACGATGGTATCATTGGATCTAAAAATAGCGCGCAGACCTGTTTTTGCTTTATTTTAAATCTGATAAACTACTTTTGAATGCCTCTTCCAATTTCTTAACTGTGTTATGCGACCGACTGTAAACTGCGCTTTCTTACATCCACCCGCTCGTATCTCCCCCCCCCCCCNCTCGACTCCTTCACATTGCCTGCGTTTGCCACCCTCTGCTCGATTCGATTCCCGTTTTCTCGACCTGATAGGAATCCATGTTTATTCCGGAACCAGTCGTATCCATGTCCATCACACCGACAGACAAAAACAATGCCGAATCGTTCAGTAAAGGACTGACCAGATTTATCAAAGAAGATCCCACATTTCGTCTGTCCCAGGACCCGGAAAGTGGCGAATCTTTGGTCTCAGGGATGGGCGAACTGCACCTGGAAATCTACGCACAACGTTTGGCACGTGAATACAACGCCCCGTGTGTACTGGGAAAACCAAAGGTGGCTTTTCGTGAGACACTCTCGGAACCGTTCCAGTGAGTTCGCACGATGTGCTTACTCCGTTGTCGTGTGAACAACACGCATCGACACATCGATTACGTTCAGCACTTTGTGTACTTTCTATTTCCGTTCTCACTGTATGGAGTGTGAGTTTGATGAAAGTCCGTCACTCTTCTCTGACATTTCCCACTAGTAACGAACACAATGTTGTCGTAAACAAAGCTGCTTAGACCCAATCCCGGTAGCCCTTGTGGAGTTAGAGCACTGAATTGTCATTCATTCACGCGCGGGGTTTGATTTGGTATTGAATTCAAAGGATATTCATTACAGTATTTGATCTAAAACCTGATGAAAACGGTTCATTCCAGCTTGCATTCCACACCTGACTGGGTCCGGACTAGACATTTCATGGATGTGGTGTTTGTAGTCTAGACGATAGACCTACCTTTTATGATATTATATATATATATATATATATATATATATATATATGTATCACTCGTCTGAGGCCAAGTCGTATGCCAAACAAATCATGGTACAATATTCTTTATAAAAAAGGAAAAAACGTTCTATGATTTGCATGTGGGTGGAATACTGCCAGATTACCCACGCCAAGGCAGGTAGATTTTTGTGGGGTATTTACAATCGGAGCATTCGGTTAGCCAAAGCACGACCCACAAGGCCCCTGTGGTGTGTGAAAACCGCGGTCCATTGGGGGACCGGTGTCTAGTTCATCGGATCACACGCCCGTTGGACTTGGTCAAACGTCCAAGTTGCCAATACACCTTGATGCGGAATCGAGCCGGTGACTACTACTGTGATCAGGAAGGTGTGTGCGTGGTTCTTACTCCTTTTCTTGAGTGGTTCGGAATCAGGGTTTTTAGCCAACTGCCCTAGACGAACTGCCATTGGTTACTGACCCGGTTACAGCCCCGATGTCAGCTTTTCATCATCTCCCGCCAGGAGAAGGCAATGCGTAGGGCTTCCTCAGAAGAAGCTATTTAAGACGCTCGACCGTATGGAAGCATTTCGCAAGATGCAACAGAGGAGTGACCAGAACTGGAGGCATACACTCCCGGTCATACTGAGGATTTCGGAGTCTATGACAATAAATCTCCCAAACAGACCGTTCGAATAGACACAATGTTACTCATTGAACGAGTTCCTACTGTGAACTGGGCAAGTATGTTATGCAATCAGCTACGCGACACGCCATAGATTAGGACCGTTAATATACAGGTAGATTTTCTGCCGCGCTGAGATCGTCCCACAGACCAGAGCAACCTAACAACACAATAAACCTCTTGATCCTGCAACCTCTCCATACCTTCCCCATTTTCACAAACAGCGAGAGTTTTAGTCCGTACAAGTGGTATTGCGTTCTTACTCCGTGATAGTTTTTTTCCCACTGAACATGCGAACCTTGATGCGTATAGGACAAAGGCTTGTTTCGCTCGTACACCCGGAACCCTAGCCCTCACAGAGAATCCAAGAGAGTTGTATTCATGACCCTAGCTCTATCCTCCGACTGAAGTCCCCATACAGTCACTCGGCAAGGTTTCACTCGCACCTTTCTGAGGACCCTGAGACTTCGGTTTGTAGTCTTGATTTCGTTGATCTAGTTCTGTCGGTGAGAAGACTTAAGTAGTGGACGTAAACGGGATAACAAAGGCGTCCGATTTCCCAGTTGTTTTCCAGTCAAATAAATACGTTTTGTGCACTCAATTGGTTTGAATTTTCAGTGATTCCAACAAGGTACAGTGAAGAAATACGCAATAGAACAATTTGTCAAGTCCATTATGACAGATACGAGCCAGATGAGTGTGTGTGGGGGGGGGGGGGGCNGCATGGTGCTGTTTCGGTAAGCGCGTGCAGGGAGAAGCCTAAATTGGAATCGAGTACGGAGACCAGACACTTATTAAGTGCGGGGGGGGGAGTGCATGAAAACAGTCGTTCTCACTAGACAATATCTGATTGGTGAATCAATCACGTGCGTCAACAAGCATGCATGCAATAGCACTGCTTCGGAAGTGAGGAGGGGGAGGGTGATGTAATAGATCTATTTTACGCAAGGGAAGAACTGGGGAACAGTACAACCAAGATGGAAAGCTGCAGGCTGTCACAAATTTTCTGGGATTAAGCTAAGCTTTTTAATTTCAAAGCATTCTTGTCGATTTTCCCACTTGCCCTAATGTTCAGTTCGATTTTGTTTATGCAAATAACCCTGATTTGTTTCGTGTCGTCAAAACAACCTCCAGATTTGGGGGCTTCGGACCACTGCAAAATTACTTCGAAACTAGACATGATCGAACTTCTCGATCCGCTTGCCTAAACTAAAAGAAAAGTAATACTTTCTTTGATAATTTGGCTAACCGCAGGCTTTCGGTTTCTTTCACCCACTTCTCTATGTTTATCAATAAGCATAACTGTTTTGAAAACCCCAACGTTTATCTTAATTTGTATAACAATCAGTTTCACCCCGTTAAAATTATTCCTTTCGAACCGATAAGTTTCGCTTATTTCCAAATTTAAGCTGTTTCGTCGTGATAAATAAATGGCTTGCATGACTGGGAGACGGAACAGTGTTGGATTCAGCTGTCACAGGTGTTGTGAGATGTGGTCTACATTGTGGTAACTGTGTAACGCACTCTTCGGCTCTTGTCCTCACGTTGAACAACTGAGTCCATAATTCGCTGATACATTTGAATCCAGCCCCCCTTTTCCAGCCTGTGGTGAAATATATTCTGTCTCCGGACGAGATTCTGTCAGTCCTAATATCAACAAAGTTCATGGGCCTGATTCATTGTCATTTTGTCTGTTGAAAGCTCACTACACCTATTTCTGAACTGCTCAACGTTTGTTTGTCTTCCGGAACGAGACCCGATTGTTTTAGGTCCTTTCGAATGAGACCAATCCCCAAAACAGACACGTCGAACTATACCATTCTAATGCCTGCACCTCGTTTTTGCTGAAATTCTTTGCTCCCCATCAGTTTGTTTACAAATGCAGTCTGTCCACATTTGGAACTGTTGCCCGTGTTGTGTTTTCTGTTACATCCCTTTTTAGTCAAGAGGAATAGATATTGCTCGTTTGACTTTTCTCGTTTACGCAAATTTGTTTGGTTCTTTTAACCCACGAATGCATACGCAATACTTTTCTGAGCGTGATCTGAGACTCGAAATTCTTAGTATTTTAATTGGAATAGAAAAGCCAACAACACAGGTTTGCACAGTGTGTTCTGGATCATTCCGCTGCATCTACACACGTGCATTTACACTACAGTGTACATGATCATTATTATATGGTCAGAAATAACAGAACTGCACCGGATTGACGTCCGATGATAGAGTGACTCGCAGATACTAAACCCCCGAATTCGCGTCAGAACACAAAGCTGGGAAATCTACGTGTACTGCATAATGAATCATGAATCAATGGAAATACAACG